AAAAAAAAAAAAAAAAAAAAAAAAAAAAAAAAAAAAAGAAATTTTCCAAAATCGATTATTTGTTAAGACAAGCAGAAAGTTCTTTGAATCATTTAAATCGGACGCTAGTTCTCTCAAAAACTTGCCCTTTTTTACATATTTAGATCCGTATCTTCAAAATGGCTGGGCCTGCCCTTGCCAAAAACTAATAAACACTTCTCCCAATCATTACTAATTGAATGTTTTTAGATCATTCAAATCGGATACTCCGTTCTCTCAAAAATACGATTTCTATTTTCTGCACTCTTGGCTCCGTATCTCCAAAACGGCTGGACCTGCCTTTGCCAAAAAACTAATCAGCTCTTTTCCCTATCAATAGGAATCGAATGTTTTTTGAACCATTCAAATCGGTTGATCCGTGCGCCCTAAAACGTGACTGGAAATTTGTATCCACACATACATACACACACACACACACACACACACACACACACACACACACACACACACACACATCCATTTTTTCTGAGGTATGCCAAAACGTTCAGAAACCTTCAAAACGTCGAGAAATGTAAAAATTTTCAATTCCGATTTTCGGCCCATTACAATAACTTACCCTACGGGAAGTTAAAAAGGACAGATATGATGAATAAGTATTTTTTTAAATTTTATGCATATTTTTTTATTTTGTGGGAATCTTTGTTTTTCCTGAGAGATTTCTATTATATTTTTATTGTAAAAATTTTAATTAAAACGATGCAATACAATTTTTCTGACAATTTTTTTTTATTTTGAAGATCCTATTATATACATATATATATTATAAATTCTGAAAATGTTATTGAAACATGTATAAATTTGAAACATTTTTTAATCATATGCAATTAATCATTCTCTCAAAATTATGACTTCGTTTTTCAAATGTGTGAAATATAAACTTTGAAATCAATGTTTGCGGTTATATTACTGTTTCGTGTAATGACTTGAGCTGATATTGAGACACCTTCGATACATTTATATTCAAATTTACAAACCTTCAAATAGAATTATCTCTAAATATATACCACACATTCATATTTCTCTCTTTTTCTGTCAAATGCTTTTTAACATTATTGAAAAATTAATCTACATGAAGTTCAAAAACACTACATTGTTTAGCATGAAAGTCGTATACTTTTTATGGGCATCAATTTATGATAAATATAAAATTAAATTTTCATGTATAGTGTGAACAGGGCCGTGCCTGGGTATGTGGCACAGCAAAATATCAAATGTGTTCTCACAAAAAAAATTGGCTTATAAATTTTATGTTTTCTCGACATTTCAAGTCATTCTTGATCGTTTAAGACAAAATTTAATAAAAAGTGTGTATATGAGCTAATTTTTGACTTTTTGCAAACGTTTTCTCAAAAACGGTTAAATCGATTTCTGTAACTAGATAAGAACTAGCGTTTGCCAGTTATGTGCAACAATCGGCCATGCCGTTTATAATCAACAGAAAAGTCTAAAAAAATTGTACACGTTTTAACCAAAAATCCTGCGTCGATTTTAAAAACCCAGAAACTATTCGAAAGATATCATTTGGAAATCGTCCTGATTAGTTTTGGAGATCGATCGGGTCGTTTCTTCGTATTTAATTGTTAAATATTTTTTACCGTGATATTTAATATTTATTTAACTTTATTGGCGATAAAGATCATGGTCTCAATTATACCTAAATATTTCGACCCTACAATAAGTTGTTTTATTTTAAAAATACTATCAAAGTTTCATCTTTAGTCGACGTGTCCTTTAAAATACGCAATCCTATATGAAAAATCAATTAAATTAAATAAGCACTCGTGCTGGTTACTTCTGCCAATTTTTGGTACACGTTATGAATTCGCAAATTGATTTTGAAAATTCAAAAACCATTACAAAATTACTATTTGAGAATCGTGCTGATTTTAAGTTTTGCCGCCTCTTAATCCAGCGGTCTTTTAATTTGACCGTCTTTTAATTCAGTGGACTATTAACACGACCGCTTTTTATTATGGCCGCCTTTAAATTTGCTCTTTTTTTATTTGGCCGCCCCTCGGCCGCCTGCACGCTGGCCAGGCACGGCCCTGAGTGTGAAAGATTTCTCGTGCAGTGCTCAAATGAGCTATTATTGAAAATAGTTCTTTAACTAACCAGGGATGATATGCATGATATCAGGCTGGTTAGCATCTATGAATAATAGCAGTCATATTGATTTTTACTGTGTTAATAACTGCTTTGTGAGTAAGATATGTACAAAATATTATAAAAAATAATAAATTAAATTGCCATTTGCTGTATACCAAATTCTACTTATACTGAAGTATTTCATATAAAAAACGAAAACAGCATAAATAGTATAATTTTACTGAGAACAAAAACGAATGAATTTAAAATTTATCTTCACTGAAAATATTTTACAGATAATTGTTAGTTTTTGTTATTTTATATGATTAATAAGAATTATTATTTGCAGTATTGCAGATTAACAATGATTTAAATGGTCCAAATAATTGGTCCAGTGATTGGATCACTGTACGTAATGTGAATTTTATTAATAGATATGCTATATATAGAGCAAATTTGTTTGATAATTGTTTGTTGTGTAATGTCAATATATGCAAGGGAGAATTAAATATTTTGACGCATATAAAAGGATCTAAACATGAAAAAGGATTGAAAAATGATGATAAAATAGACTTAATTAGGCCGTTTTTAAATCGACTTGATAATTACATGAAGGATGACAATGACAACATATTGCTTTCAAATAGAGATTTCATATTTCCTTATTCTAAAAGGACAATTTATTGCAAACCATGTAATAAGGAAATTGATGTTAGACAAAAAAAAATATTCACACATTTAAAAACTATGGATCACATATCACAATGCGAATCTGTAATCAAGAGTAGTTCGGGAAAATTGACACTTTTGAACAGAGAAGTTTCATTAGAGAAAGATCACATAGGTAATTTGCTGTCTGATAGAAATAAAATCATGTATTCTAATGATTTATTTGCAAACATCTCGACAGGTGTTATGAAAGTTAGTTCTCATGATGCATTCAAAAATAAACAGGAGATTGAAGGACAAAACATTTGTGTCAGTTTTATGAAAAGTAATGTACCAAATAATTGGAATCGGATAGATTCTAGAATTGACCTAGTAGAAGACAATAACATATTTATTGATGACAGCGTTAGTGCTTTCATTAAATGCATTGAAAGTTCATGGGCAATTGTTAAACCGATGTATATATATAATAGAATTTTTTTTAAGTGAGTATGAATTAAATAAATAAATATAAATATTATAACTAGTCAATATAACTATATATTTTTTTTATATTTTTTAGTTTTACTGATGGTATATATTTATGTACTTTATGTAATAATGATATTGATGTTTCTGCCAATGTTTTTTCCATAAAGAATCACTTGGAGAGCATTACTCATAGAAATAATGCATTACTGGTAAATTTATCACATCGATATTATTGTTATTTATGCGACTTAATGATTCAGAATGAGAAATCATATTCAACTCATAAATCACAAAAGGCACATAAGGAAAGGTATGGAATGTATTTGTACTATAACAATTCATTTTTCTATTATTTTACTAATTTTGGTATTTAAATTATTTATAAGTGAGTACTAATTTCACTGAAATGTTTGTTAATTTGATGTGCATATATTCAATGATCATTTTTGGCTGCCAAATATAATTTTTTTCACACTTTTTCTCCGAAACCGCTGGGCCTACCACATGCACAAACACATACATCATTTTTTTCTAACATGTTAAGAAATCTTTGAAACGTAAAGATATGCAAAAAAATTTGTTTTTGAGATAACAAGGTATATGATTTGAATGATTCAAAAAACAATCAATTTGTAATGATTGGGAGACGTACTGATTAGTTTTTGACAAAAATAAGTCTATCTTTTTCGGAGATACGGAGCTATAAGAATGCCAAAAATTGTAGTTTTTGATAGAACGAAGCACCAAATTCAATGATTCAAAAAACATTTTGCTAGTATTAAAAGTTTGAAGAAACTATTAGTTTTTGATGAGAAAGCCAATTTTTTTTTTATTACGAAAAAATAGTTTTTTAAAATATCGAAATTGAGTCGAATTTTAATTTTAATTCTAATTAAAATTTTAAATCTCACTTATATACTTGAAACAAATATTTTTAATTTTGCAATTCAATTTATATAATTCTTAAAGTAATATATTACACTACGTATTTATAAATATGTAACATATTTCTAACTATGTAAATGTCCTCGACTTATATTTTCTCTATAAAATAAAAATAATGAAAGTTACAGTGTTTGTAATAATCTATTTGAAATCATTTAAAATTTCTCTATTATTTTATTACATTGAGTATTCTTCGACGGCGTTGTTCCAAAAACGGCTGAACCGATTTAAAAAATTAAAAAGCCATTCCATGTACCTCTACAAAAGACTAGCGTTCATTAATTTTGCCCGATGATCGGCCTAATAGTTTTTCTATGATTGAAAGTTCTGAATCCTGAATGGATTATAATGGTCCGATTCGATTCAGTGACTTAAAATTTCAAAAAAACATAAAATTTGAAAATCGGATTTTTTGACGAAAACGTCAAGATAGTTAAACTATTTACCTAGTTTTACTGCACTTTGAGTAATAAAAAACAAATTAATAAATATTTAAAATCTTAATGAAACAAGTGATTTATCTATATCAAACGATCAAAATAATATTGAATAATTGTCTTCTTTATTATAAAATATTTTAAAGCCGCAGAATAAGCTAATAGTTTGTCCAAATAATACCATTGTTTTGATGTATTTTTTATGAAGATTTATTCTTTAGTTAAATATATTATATTAAGACTGTCATTTAGTATCTCAAGTAATATATATATATATATATATATATATATATATATATATATTTTGTATGATTCTGAATTTGATGTTGACATATGTATTAACAAAGTCTAATAATCGGGCATAACATCAATAAAAAACATGAATTTCTTTCAAAAATTTATTTTAAATCCATACGTTTCGGCTATAATCCTAGCCTTCATTCAGTGGAAACTAAAAATAAAATTAAAAACTAAAACAATTGAATTGGAGTGAAAAGAAAAAAATAAAATAGTAATTAGTACTTACAATTAGTTGATCTTAGTGTTAAATTGGAAAATTATTCTATATATAATATTATGGATTATTAAAATTTTCCAATTTAACTACTTTACTAAGATCAACTAATTGTAAGTACTAATTACTATTTTATTTTTTTCTTTTCACTCCAATTCAATTGTTTTAGTTTTTATTTTTTTTTTTAGTTTCCACTGAATGAAGGCTAGGATTATAGCCGAAACGTATGGATTTAAAATAAATTTTTGAAAGAAATTCATGTTTTTTATTGATGTTATGCCCGATTATTAGACTTTGTTAATATATATATATATATATATATATATATATATATATATGTATATGTATATGTATATATATATATGTATATGTATATGTATATATATATATATGTATATGTATATGTATAGTATGTTAGCGAAACATATTATTCGAATGAGTATGTTTGAATGTCGCGCGTGTCATTCTGTGCGGTTGGCTACAACAGACGTGTGTGAGCGAGTTCAGGCGGAAGGGGCAGAGCTAGGGAGTGACAAGGCGGAGTCTGTCGTAGCATAGAGATTGAGATAAGAGAATTTAGATGAATATAGATTTGATGAAATAAATGTTTTGCAAGGACTACTGCACCGTATTTTATTTGTTCAATTTATGTAAGATTCCTGATAAATAAATAATATTAGTATCTCAATTGATTTGGTTTTATAGGTTAATTTCATACTTTGGATGTAAAAATAAGGGCCTATTTTTCAAAGACTTAGTTTGTCAAGAATGTGGTTTAATAATTTTTTCTAATGATGAGGGAGCATTACCTAAACATACACCCATCACTTTCAAGTTTAATGATACATCAGGTAAGGTTTTTTCACATGTGTATAAAATTTATCGAAAGAAATATTTTTAATATCATATTATTTACTTCAGAGTTGCAATTATTATTTATCTAATATATTCATAAAGATTTTTTAAAATTATTTTTCACATTTCTAGACCTTATATATATGACATCACTGATTGGCTTCACCAACCCTATACAATATTTTTTTTCATATTTTTTACATTTAAAATTTATATTTAACTGATGATTTGTTTCTGTTGAAAATTTTATACGATTCAGTAAATTCATATTAACAACTTTAAATTTAACTTCTTATTTATTACGTCGCTATAATATTAAACGATTTTTATAATTGATAAGAAAAAAATTTAATTTTGGAAAAAAGTTTTACATTTTTCCAAAATTTAAATAAATTATTAACTTGTTAAAATTATTCCAAATTATTATTATGGTTTATAACTTTTGTTAAATATTTGTACAGAATACAACTTGAAGATGTTTAATATTTTTTTTCATCTAATATTTTTATAGCCAGTAAATTATAGTAACCTTGTAATACTGAATTTTGCACAATTTCATTTATTACTATTATTCAACCATTATATTTTTGAAACTTATATTTCAGTTAATTATTTCTAGAAGTTCTAGTTTTTTTTAAAAAAATTGGTTTTTATGGTAAAAATTTTAATCATTATGGGCCTTCTAGTTTTTGAGTTTAATATACGAAAGTTTTTTCAATTGAAAACATTCTTTATACAATATGAATTTTTATGGGCCATATTAATAGTATTTAAAATGAAAATATCGCATTAAAATATTACCAAATATTTTTTTGTGTTTAAGACTATGAAAATAATTAGCGATTAATTTTATTTAAATATGCCGCTTATTAATGTTAATAATTAGTTTTTTTATGATGGTTTCATTTTATTGCTTATGTTTTTATTTTATATTACATAAAATTAAGACCTCTAATTAATGATATGCAAAATTCTGTAAAATACAATTATAATTATTCTTGTTTCACATAAATATTAATACATTGTATTTTGTTATTAAAATCATTAAGTATTCTACAAAATATAGGTACTAATATTATTAGTTTACAATAAGGAATATATTGGAACTGTAGGTTCTAAATACAAATGGTCAGCATGAAAAATTTACTGAACATAACTTTAGAGGATCAACTTTTGTGCATCTCATTGTGTCATATTGTATTTTTATAGTAAATACAAATACAAAAATTGATGGAAAAGAAATAATGTTTGCTGCTATGAATGAATTACACGGAAATGCATCACATATGAATGGTGGCTGTTTAGGAGTCCGTGAAGATAATTTTTATGACAATGAAGTAAGTGCTGTTAATCAAATTAAGATTTTATCACTACTTATATTCATGTATCTAATATATATAATTTTTTAAGGCATTAGATACTATTACTAAATACTATGTAAATGATGGAATGGATATAGGCTGTGTTCCAGCATTTTCAAATGAAAAGATTGCTGTTCCGTTGATGAATGGTAATTGCAGTAGTTTTGACTATTTACACTTTCAGTCGATGTTGAAAATAATATAAATATAATTTATGACAAAAGCTAATTATGCAATTTTTGATGGTAGAATTAATTGCTTCTGATAATTCAGATTTTGGAGAAGAATATGAGCATGGTCAATTAGATAATTTAAAAATTATTGAGAATAATGGAGTTGAAGCAAATAATGGCAATGACACTGAAAATGTAAATGTGACAAATAGTAAAGAAGAAACACGTAAATTAGAAGAAATATTTTTAAAGTTTTGGGACGATTTTGATCTCAGTGATAAGAACCTAAGTTTAAATAAGCAAATTTTCGGGTTTGTATCAAACTATTTTTTTTTATGTATGCTATAAGTTATCAAATAAAATTTTAAATCTAAATTGTTTTTCAGAATAATTGACAAAGGATTTTTAAAATGTTTATTGTGTCGTCATAAATTAACTCTCAACAAACGAGGTGTTCTTGGTCATATTAATGGAATGAGCCATAGAAGAAACCTTAGCGAATTTCTAGAAATTCGTCACTATTGCAGCGTATGTAGACTATTTATACAGGACTTCAATTTGCATAAAATCTCATCAAATCATATTTCTAAGTAAGATACAGTGATCTTAATTATGGTATATAATATACTTTAATTTAATTTTGAATTTAGTATTCCAGATTATAATGATGACTTTAATAAAGATAATCCTCCTACAATGAAACATGAATGCAGTGAGTGCCGCGTTATATCATACTATCCAGCAGGTACCAACTTTGAACACACACATTTTGAATTTGAATTCTCAAAGGTTATTACAAAAGGAAAAATTAGTTCCAATGGTAAATTCATTAAAACTTGGAAATATAAGTATTATCTAAACCAAATTTTATATTAGAAACAAAATTATGTTATTCAATTAACAGCAAAAATTAGAAAAAAAATTTTGACTTTAATCGAGGATGAACAAGTATTGAATGACTACTCTGTTAATTTAATCAAATTGGCAAAAACTGCTGCACAATCGAATGAATTGATATTAGCTACCTGCACCATGCTGGAGAAAAATTTATCAGTGTTCACAAGCTGCAAAGCCTACCCTTTTGGCTCTAGAATGACTGGTTTAGGATGTGAAAGTAGCGATCTTGACATTTTTTTTGACAGTGGTAACATTTTTGTATTACTATATGTATGCATACATATATATATATATATATATATATATATATATATATATATTTATATTTAATTTGAGTTTGAAAGTCGGGCGTTACATCAATAAAAATAGTATGAGAGTTTTTAGAAATTTACTTAAAATCCATCCTTCTATACTTAATTCAGTGGCAATCAATATAACTATAAAAATTAGAACTAAATAATATGTAAGAAATGGAAATAAATATCATAGAAAAACAATAATAATAATAATAAAAAACACTTACAATTTTGTATCATAATATAACAGATGAGAAGACAGACAGTGGTAATATATATATATTTTTTAAAATCACAAATGGTAAAATACACAAATAAACATGAATAACTCTTAATAAGTTGAAGAAACTATGTATTGACTATTTGGAATCTAAGATAGAAATGTCACATTTTTTTTTGAAGCAGTTTTTAAAATGTGTTCAAATTTCACAAGAAATTTAAAAGGCGATGGGATTTTGTCATTTTTTAGGAAATTTTGACACGCTATATAGGAACCACGTGTTTATTTCGTTCAGGGCCGTGTTGTCGAATCGTTTGTTTATGACCCTATTGTTATGCAATCGCAAAAACAACCCCTCAGCGAATTTCTTTTAGTTACGTTCTCTTCAAAATGTAAAATTTTTGGGTTGAAAAAATCTATATTATAATTTAAATTATTTATATGCTCGGTTAACATGGTTATGAATTGTTTGGGATTTTTTGAGTTATTTTTATGTTGATAAAGGCGCTGACTCAGGTTTTGGCTAGTTCCTCCGATATAAAAGAGCTCACAAGTAGAACTATTAATCTGATATACTAAGTTCCTGAGACGGTCAGAATTAAACATAGATTTAATTTGTGTAAAAATGGAACTGAGGGTTCTATTGCAATTACATACGTCTAAACGGTTTTTATGGTCGGTGATTTTGTTTGTTGAAAAGGTAGTTAACCGAGCATGTAAATAATTCAAATCATAATATAGATTTTTTTAACCCAAAAATTTTAAGTGAAAACGTAATTAATAGAAGATTCGCTGAGGGGTTGTTTTTGCAATTGCATAACGACAGGTTCATAAATAAACGATTCGATAACACATCCCTGAACGAAACAAACAGGTGGTTCCTAAATAGCGTGTCAAAATTTCTTAAAAAATGACAAGATCCCATCGCTTTTTAAATTTTTCATAAAATTTGAACACATGTTAAAAACTGCTTCAAGAAAAAATGTGACATTTTTATTTCTAGACTCCGAATAGTCAATACATAATTTCGATAACTTGTTAAGTTATGTTTATTTATGTGTTTTACCATCTGTGATGTTAAAAAATATATATTTTACCACTGTGCACATACTCATACAATGGATTAATAATGTTTTCATATGTTATATTAGGATACAAAATTGTGTTTTTTATTATTATTATTATTATTATCATTGTTTTTCTATGAAATTTCTTACATATTATTTATTTAGTTTTAATTTTTATAGTTAAATTGATTGCCACTGAATGAAGCCTAATATGCTAGCCGAAACATATGAATTTTAAATAAATTTCTAAATCTATGAAAAAAAAACTATTCAATTGAAGTTTAAGATTAAAAGTTCGGAAAATAGCTATGAGTAAAGAATCTCTTGAATATTAATTTGTATATATGTGTCAAATTTATTGTAAACAATCACAATTAAATGTTTTATAAATGATATAACTTGAAAGGTGTTCTACTATAATGACAAATATGTTTACAATTAACATTAGTAGTTGTAGCATGGTTGTAGCATATAACAGCATATAGTTACTTAGCTATTATTTTTGTATTATTACAGGTTCCATGTATAATGGATTACAAAACCAAAACAGTCAATTTCAGAATTCGTTAATTGATGTATGTTGTGAGGTGTTAAAAAAATGTGACGAGTGGGACTTTGTGTTCCCTGTTACAAAAGCTAGAACACCAATTATTAAAGCATTTAATACTGTATATAAAATGGACTGTGATATATCTTTTAGAAATGGCTTAGGTGTTGAAAATACTGTCATATTAAAGTGAGTAATATTTTTGTTATGGACTATTGTTCCAATTTGCTCTCTACATATTGTTTTTTTGTAAAAGTAATTTTTTTCAGGCGAATATTAAATGATCAACCTATAGCAAAGCGCATGATATTAATTTTGAAACATTGGTTAAAACTAATTAAAGTTTCAATGAATGGGTATGCTATAGCATATCTTGTTATATTTTATCTTCAGCTACAAAAGCTCATTGTACCTGTATGGCATATGACTACAGGAAGTAGTCATGAAAAAAAAATTATTTGCGGTAAGTGTATATTCAAATTGTACTGCAAATTTAGCTACAGATATATGAGTTGCTTGTGCGTTATAATTGGGAAAGGCAGGGCACAGTGATTAGCTTTAGGATATTAATTTATGAATTATTGGATTCAATCTTCTTTGATCGAAGATGTAACCCGTAGGTTTTTTCAATCCATAAATGTGGTCACCTCATAAATGGACAGTATTTTGGGAAGCACAAAAAACATATATCACCTTTCAAACGTTACTTATGGATAATTCGTCCAAACAACTGCACTGCCAGAAAATTTAAACAATTGCACTGCCATGAGTGCAGTGCAAGTTGGGGATATCACAGATTTTTTCACAGAGATATTTTTATTTTTACATTTTGTTTTTTTAAAATTCGGAACTGTCAGCATACGAATCAGTCCAGAATTGACATTTTTTTACAATTTATTTGTACAATATAGGGTAATAATAAAGAAATCGACCAGTATAATTGAAAGGGTAAAATTCGTTTCCAATTTAGTGTCAAAACATTATCACAAAGGAATCTCATTTTAGTAAATATTTCATAAGTGTCCACATTTGAGGACATTATTCAAAACTAAAATAAATTAATTTTATCTCAGGTTGGGAGTGCCAAGTTGTAGACTATGTGGCTTTTCCGAAAAGCACTGAAAAATTATCGAATTTATTGCGTGGTTTTTTCAAATATTATGGAGAATTCAATTACTCACAGAATGTGATTTGTCCATTATTGGGTCAGATAGTTAATAAAGAAGAGTTTGAAGATTACATGTCACTTCCTCAGCAATTTAAACCATATATAGATCATTGTCAACGAATTTCAAGGGCTACATTAAATGATTTCGATTCAAACGATATGGATTCAAACGATATGAATTCAAACGATATGGTGTTACTTGATCAGTTATATTATGGACCCCTAAAAACTGATGCTTCAATGTGTCTTCAGGATCCTGTTGATTTGTCTCATAATGTAACTAAAGGTATTCGACCTACAGATTTGGAAAAATTTAAAATTATGTGCGAGTTTTCTTCATCCATTATTGCCACTAAGAATTCAAGTGATCGTGCGGATAATTATATTGATGAATAATGAGCTGCATAATAGTTTGATTGTCGTTTCAAGCATACAAGTACGACCATTACTGTTGTCGACAATAATATTTTATAAAAATGTTTTTTAATTTTACTATTAATTAATTTTAATATGAATAAATTTAAAATTTTATAAATGAGCCATATTATTTACTTCAAATTATTTTTTATTTTCTATTTTGGACAAAATGTCTGTATGTACGGTTTGTATTTTATTATAGTCTTGGAAAATGCTTTTACCCATTACACCTCAATAAATACCGAATTTTAAGTATCTGGCATGAATTTCAGTTGCTGCACCTATGTATATATATATATATATATATATATATATATTAAATTTTTTATAATTTTGATGTTGAAATATGTGATATTCAGTTTTCAGGGCAATACATCAATTAAAAAATTTGTATGACTTTAAAACATTTTTATTTTTTCCATACGTTTCGACACATAGTTTTGTGTCATCTTCAGTGGACTATGTAATTGAATTAATCCTAATTATTTCATATTATAAATGTTCACAATGCACAATCCTAATTATATCATATTATAAATGTTCACAATGCAACAAATAAAAATGTTTTAAAGTCATACAAATTTTTTAATTGATGTATTGCCCTGAAAACTGAATATCATATATATATATATATATATATATATATATGTATATATATATATATATATATATATATATATATATATATATATTAGATGACCCGACAGACGTTGTCCTGTGCCCACATCTACATTATTTTAATATCCTATACTAATATTTATACTGTTCAGTTAAAAGTGATAATTATTGTTTTTTGAATTACTATTTGCACAAATATGAGTGATGTTATATGTAGAATTGCTTCAAATAAAATTATGATCCTTTTAACAAATATTAAAATATGTTCAACAAAATTGTATATTAAAAATTATACACTGCAATTAATAGAACTAATTTATTTCCTATAGCTCAATTTATTTTAATGCCAAGGGTTATCCAATAATTTTAGTCATACCTGTAGATGTGGATATATAAATGAATGATTTTTTGTTTATTCACGACTAAAACATTGATTTTCCAAATTTATCACACGAAAAATCGTCTGCCTTTGTGATTTATAGCATAAGATATACGTATTGGAAATTGAAGTCTTTTAAAAGGTATAACATATTCAGAAAGAATTAATATATAGCATTCGCGGTATAGGTACAATATCACATTGAATTTTTCTACCCAAAATAATTGCTTCAACAATGTTGCGTATAATTTTTATAATTTCGTACCATATTTTAACTGGCTTTTAGTAATTTTAATATCTAAATTACATTTTTCTCACTAATAAATCAATATACATTATTAGTCAAGTTCATATTTGTTGTGAATTAATTTGTCAAATCCAGTTCACATGTGCTCTATTCAACCTACGATAAACAAAATTATTGCAGTAAATGGGGAGGAAAAAAGCGTGTGCCCTGTGATTTTTTTACTGTGCTATAATTTCATGATATATTCTGGAAATACGCTAATCTTAATTTTAAGTTCAGAAGTGAAAACAATTTGCACTCCGTCACCAGCCCCGGCATTAATTAGATTATAATTCTTTTAATTCTGATTTTATCAGAACTTGTAATATACTATTTTAAAGGTAATTAAATGACCTACAACTTTCTCTATCATAAATTTTACCGTAACTTTTCTTATTTTGTAACGGCGAAGGGTTAATTTGATTCAAATGAAAAAAAAAATTGTATGTGTCTTTTATTTGCATGATCGCTCACTCATTTTACATGCAGAAATACTCATTTTAAAGCTTATTTTGAGGACTATAAAACCCCATTTTCATATCTAGCTTAATATTGTTCATAGAACACTATAAAGCAGTGATTTATTAAGATATTAATTTATATAATTTTGGTCATTTCATTATTTTTGTTAAAATATTTCTGAAGATATTAGCAAACAACGCTTTTAATTTTTCTTTAACGTTTAGTTAAAAAATAATAATCTGTCAAATTGAATTTTAATATAGGGTATGTAATTACATTGAACTGACATTTCACAACCGTGAGACGCATGCGCAGAACTGCATCACTTGTCAGACGCATTTTGACTCTATGTTATTATATTTTTTTAATTTTTGGCACATCTCAACTGCTTTTCGGCATTAATAATGTAGACATTACATTTTCTTTATTTATAATCATGGATTTATTATATTTTATTATTGCTTTAGCCTATAAGTGAATAGAAATGTTTGACAAATGACAGTCTTCATTTGTTTTTAATGTCAAACTAAGCTTAAAATATTTTCAAGGTCAAACAATGATAAGCGTTTTTTTGTAATTTTTTCTATTTATTTCTACAATCTAACTATATTTCTATGAATCTAATAATTCTAGACAATTTCCCGAATAAACTTCAGGAAGATTCATGAAAATCCGAATTATAGTTTAGGAGGATTAATCATTCATACACAGTTACAGAAGAATTTTATATATAAGATATATATATTCATTTATATATAAATTGAGAGGTTTTCTCAGATGGTGAAATATTATAATAAAGTTGTTCTTGGGCGTCCATCCATTAATTAAAACTATTTTATTAAGTAGTATTTCAATTTTCCATCCATTAATTAAAACTATTTGATCAGGTAAAATGTTCTATTGTCAATCGTTTCGGGTCCTGATTTGACCCATCTTCAGTGCATACAAATAATTTAAAGAAAAAACAAAAAACACGGAAAATATAATGCACCAATTACTATACAATTTTCAAAGCACAAATTTTAAAAATTATTGAGTTAAAATAAATATTAAATTAAAATAAAATAAATGAAAAGGTTTTTAAAAAAAACTCTTCTCATCGAGATATGATATATGTTTGGAAAAAAAATTACTATACATATACATACATACTATGCATAATAGTATACATATTATGCATAATATCAAAACATCATTTCACAGATGAGAATAGGTATGCGTTATGTAGACTAATTGAAAATATTATAAAAAAATCTTTAAAAAGCATATTTTAAAAAGATTCTAACATATGCTGAACGTAATCATGAATTTTTCGATACAATGTTGAATTACTTAAGCTTCGCAAAACAAGCCATAAAACTGATGTTCATATTACACAGAGTAGACATGTCGTTGCGTTTAATTATTGCTTTTTCGTAATAGATGTTATTAAAACTTTGTTCCGAAGTCTTTTAACTTACAAATAAATTATATATTTTAGAATTTGAATCAAAAGAAAATATGAAAAACTCGGTATTTTGCAAAATACCCATTATTACTTCTAGAGAGGAAAGTCGTTTACTAAAATATATAGTCATCATTTACTACAATACAGTCTAATAACTAATTTCGCAATACCAATGAAAATGAGAAAAGGGCTTGAAACTAATTCTTCTTCAGCAAACATCAGCTTTAAATTAGACAGGATCTGAAATAGAAAGAAATCATGTATAGGAAATGTACACATAGACGTAAAACGTTGTTTTATTTTGTTTCCTTAAGAGTCGCTTTCAATAATTTTGTGTTGTAACATACTTAATAAGATATCTTTATAGCGCGTTCAATTTAAACCTAATTCCTTCGTCCTAATTTAAACCTAAATTCAAGACGGTTACAATAATTCATAATGGGCTGTAACTTAATATAATTGCTTAAAATACCATTATGAAAGTAATCTCAAAAGTCCTTATCGTCCCGGTGCGAGCTAAAAATTTGGCACAAGGTCAAAGGCCGAAGAAATGATTTTTTTTTTGCGATTTTCAGCTAAATAGTCAGTTTTATCGAGAAATTACCCGAAACAAAATTGTAGAGCATAAAGTTAGCTACAAAAGATGTATGAATACTTTTTATTCAGAGCCACCGTTTCAAAGATGTCAAGACTGATATATTATATTTTTAAACTTGTACATTATTTAAAAACTTGTAAAGAAATATAGAGAAATTATCGTTTAACCTTTTCTTTATATTTTTTCAAACATCGCATCAAATAACCGGAGTACCGCCTTACACAAAAAAAAATCCCTACTGAAATGTTTCGGATTTTAAATATTGCAAAATTGGGAAAAAAATAAAATCAAGCTCTCTCTGAAGACCTCTTAATTTTTATGGTTTACGACTTCATTAACTCGGCTATAGCAGAAATTCTCGTTAAACTCAAGAACAATGCTTGGTATAAGCTTGAATTACTTATAAGTGCATTTAACATAATACTTTCTACTAATAGTAAATAATATTATTCTTAAATGGATTTACCGGTGATTCGTTGAAGCTTTTCTTCCGAAACCGCTTCGGTTCTTTCATTTTCCGTTGCACTGGAGCAAGCTGAACTGTCGAATGAGTGTTGAGATATTTGACAAAGACAGGCACAAACATCTTTGGAACCTGTTTTTATTATGATTTTTCTAAGTTCTAAAAAAAGATTTTTTCTGATCTTTTAAAGCATGCTATGTATATTATCGGTTTATAGTAAGCAAGACCCTTTCAATATTAATAAATATTGTTTCTGACTTTTGTCGAGCTTTATCATATAAATGAACCAAAGTAATGTAATTTTATAGTTTAATTAGCACAAGGCATTTATAGTTTAGTTAGCACAAACTTTTACAATTTTGTACTGTATCTGGATTCTGAATTTTTTATGTCTGCGGAATTTATGTGAAATTCAAGTTTACTATGTGTTTTCATGTGACATATTTTTTGACTAATTCCGGTTAGTGTTCGTTAGTTGTGTTATAATGTTATATTATTTTATTTGGTTACCTTCGAATATTGTACTCTTCATAGATGAATTTTCTCCATCTATTTCAAAATGCAGACTTGGATCTGGTTCATCAAAGACGGATGAAATGTCATATGGGGTCCATGTTATGTTTTTAATGAGTCGAGCTTTCACTCGATTTAATAGCTCGTTATGGTTTGTCTGTGGAATATTATTAGTATATGTGAAAAAAAAAACGCACAAATATGATGCTATTTGAATCTTAAACAATTCTAAATAGAAATCTCTGAATTTAATAT